CCCTCCAATGGCCACCGCGGCCGGCACACCGCACTGATCTGAAGGCAGGAACCAGGTGCTTCTCCTGGTCTCCCATGTGGGTGCAGGGCCCAAGGACTTGGGCCATCCTCCACTGCACTCCCTGGCCACAGCAGAGAGCTGGCCTGGAAGAGGGGCAACCGGGACAGAATCCGGTGCCCTGACCAGGACTAGAACCCAGTGTGCCGGCGCCGCAAGGTGGAGGATTAGCCTAGTGAGCTGCGGCACCAGCTAATAGTACATTCTTGATGGCTACATTTAAAAGTTTTTAAAAGGAAGGTATTAGGCAATAAGCCTGATTGAATGTAGATATATATCAGAAGAACCTTTTCAAAGGTGCTAAAATCTATTTTTCAGAACAGCACAAAATTTCCATGTACAGCATGGAATTATCACCCTCCAACCAAAAGAAAAATATAGATGAGTACATAATGAGTAAATCTGCTTGTTTCCAAGTCTCTACACAACCCTTCAGGCCAGCAATGGGAGAAAAACGGACTGAATTAAGCCAACATTGTAATAAACTACAGGTTCTATCCTGCCAAATACTGCTTACAATACAACAGGATACTCCATCCGTATTAAAAATAATAATAATAACATCTACCCTTTGGTTGTTTTATATTCAGATCACATCTAAGTAAATTTTAAGGGTTTTTTTTAACTTTCACTAAGAAAATATTTTTTAAAAAATTCTATTAAAAAGGAGAAAGACTTTAAAGGAAAATGAAAAGAGAAACATCACAATATAGGTACCCTTTGCTGGTTCTGGACATGTCTTAAGATTTTGTTTGGACAAAGAAACAGAAAAAGATAAGTAATAGCAAACCTCTAAAGAATGCTTCACGGTAAGTACAATCATAAATGCAACAAAGAGAAGAGGAGTATTAAAACAACTATCTGAATGAAGTGAACCTATTTTTAAGTAGTACAAGAAGAGGATTTTATCCTATTTTGGCAATATAGTTCATTCAATTAAATTGAAGAAAATTGCAGATTCAGTCATTTGTTCATGAAACAAATGTAGTGAAGAAACAATTTCCAAGCTCTCTTCCAACCAAGGCATTGTAAGTGTAGATCAGATAAAGATACAGTTTGATGCACACAAAATATATTTAAATAAGGGTTTGGTGCTGTGGCATAGTGGATAAAGCTGCTGCCTGCAGTGCCAGCATCCCATATGGGTGTCGGTTCAAGTCCCAGATGCTGCACTTCTGATCCAGCTCTCTGCTATGGCCTGGGAAAGCAGTAGAAGATGACCCAAGTCCTTGGGCCCCTGTACCACATGGGAGACCCAGAAGAAGCTCCTGGCTCCTCGACCCTGGCTTTGGTTCAGTCCTCCTCTGGCCATTTGGGAAGTGAACCAGCAGATGAAAGACTTCTCTCCCTCTCCCTCTGCCTCTCTGTAACTCTGTCTTTCAAATAAATAAAAAATAAATTTAAAAAATTAAAATCACATCAAATAGCCTAGTGCTTTGAAATATGGCACACTTTTCAGAATAGGCACTAGAAATTCTTGACTGTATTTGTACATCAAAATAATTCCATGCTGCATAACAAAAGCCAACATAACACATAAAAAAGAATTATCTTTCTAGATGCAAGAAGACTGCATCTTTTGAATTTTGATGCTACATTAAAAATATAGTGATATAAACACTAATGAGCAAATTATCCTCAATTGTCTTAAAGACAGTATTTATACATGCTATGTCATGGTTTTCTTTAGAATTTTCTCATTTTTGACCATCTGTTCAAAGAAGTACAATTCAAGGTGATTACTGTGAGTGTAAAAGCGGTTTAAATGATCAGTAGGTAACCAATAGTTTTTTTCTGAAATGGCTTGCAGTAAAGGTCATTATCCTACCCCACAAATCTCACTCTTGGTGTGTGCAGGAGTTTATCATACCACCATGGTGCTTCCAAATGAATGGAGAAGGGATGTGGGCTAACAGAACTCACAAGGAGAGAAGCAAACCAAGTTAGTTGCAACTTCCAAGAAAAAAGTAGAGACATGTATCAATCAAGGATGACTTTGATTAAGCAAAGGAGAATTTGTGGTTTTTTTGTTTGTTTGTTTTGGGTTTTTTATTTTAAAAATCTGTGACTCAATTGCTGGGCAAATTAGAAAACCAGCCTTGAAACTGAACTTTGAAAAACTGGCCTGACCAGAAAACGGGTACCCCTGCCACCTGCCTACCATCACTGCTTCTGCCTCAGGAATCCTATCCTGCTAATGAGGATGCCCCGAAGATCAGACACCCCTGCCAGAACCCCAGGGTAGTATCCTCAACTCTAGGAAGAGCCCTTTCCCTGGAGATGCTCATTCATAAGTAACGGAAGTCTCATCGGTAAAGTCTAGAACACACAACTATACTCTAGCTACAAAAGAGGCTCAACCTTTGGGAGGTGGTCCTCATAAAACAGAGAACACCCAGGTTTGGCAAAAATCCCCAAAAAGCTATGAGAAACCAAAAACACAACAAAGGTTCCATCCATTTCAGAGTAAGTTCATTTATTCCACTTCAAGTGGCTACTCTATAGTGGGCCTTGTTGCTTTCCTTTCATCCCTTATTTCCCATGGTACAGTATTGCTATGTCTCCCTCATTATCCCATCTCATTATCTTCCACTAAATTGAAAGTTTATCAAAGCCCAGGACTTTGTCATAAAAGCTGACACACTTGCCATGCACTCAATCGTATTTATGAATGAATAAATGATAGAGGTTAAAATATTACGCAAGAAAGGCAGGAAATGGCATCATAGGACATTGTGGTTTAGCACTAATGAAAAGAGAAATGGAAGAGAGGAGAGTTCCAGCAAAGGGAAGCATAGCAGCAAAGGCCCAGGAGATGTGCCAGGGTGGGCATTTGCAACGTCAGCAGTGGAATCAGCTGGACTCTACCAGCGGTTCTTAACCTCCTGAAGAGAAGAGGCCGAGGCTTGTCACCAACCCCATTCTACAGTACCGGAACACAGATAGGGGAAGGGGGCTAGCAGGTATGACATATCTGTGTGTGTCTGTTGGCCTGGCATTTAGTGTTAGTCCATTCCATCAGCACACATTTGCTGAGAGCCCACGACAGGAACAACCCAGATGGATGAAGTCATTCCTTCTTCAAGGATCTCACCACCTCAAACATTTTTCATACCTAAGTATATACACCAAATGTTTTTAAGACCTAAAGGATTTGCCAGTGGCATCAAAATAGGGAGATGAACTGAAGCCAGTGGTCTTGCTCTAAATTTCTGAGCACCCCTGTGCCAAAGTCTGTTCTCAAATTGTTCCTACTGAATTCTAACTTCCTGCATGTTGAATATGTAATATCCAAACAGCAAACTGTAGGTGGATATGCTAAATTCACCTATAGAGATTGGTGGTTCTTTTGCATAGAAACTTTTTTTTTCAATGAGAAGAAATGACAGGAGAAAGAGTATTTACATAATTCCAGGAGAGAATTTCAGGCAACTCCTTCCAGAAAAAGCAATAATTCTCTCCTGAAAGAGGCAGAACTCCACTAACGCCATCCTATCACAAGCATTTTGTAAAGAGCATTGACGGAGGTGATGTGCCTCAGTAGGGTTCAAAGGTGAGCAAATACACCCGTCTTTGCAGAGTAAAGATTTCTGAAGGCAGAAAGTCATCAGGAGAGGAAAAGGGGGAGGGCAACAAGATGGCTCTGTCCAGGACAGCATGCAGATGACCAGTGCTGGGGGGAAGGCTCATTTTCTCAGCCGCCACGGCAGCACTGACAGCCCCTCTATCTCCATCTACTCCTCAACCCATCTCACCCTCAACAGTGCCCAACTCCGTCCCCTGGCCCCCACACAATCTCAGACACCTGCATCTTCCACTCCCTCTGACACAACCTCCAACATTCGGCTCAGGCGTGACTTTCCTCCACGAAGTTCTCCCTGCCTCTTCTTTGTGCTGTCACGGGGCTATTACAGCTTCCGGGGAACCTCCTCAGTTAGCCGATCACACCAGGCTATCCTCTAAACCCCTTGAAGTCCAAACCCTGGTTTATTTGTTTTTGGAACCTCGGGATTCAGCCTGGGAACTCACAGAGAACAGATGTGCAGTGTTTGTTGAATTGAATGAAATTATTATTATTCACTAAAATGGAAGGACCTGAAAATTTGCGGGCTGAAGCGTCCACAAGCTCATGTTTCAGGGTGCAGAATGTTCACAATACTGTCCTAGTTAGACCAGGAGCTGGAAGGAAGGGGGAGTTTCAGTTATTCACCTCGGTGTCCCATTGTAAGCTCATGGGAGATAGTAAAGAGACATTCACATAACAAATTTTGTGTATGTCATTCAGTATACAGCTATGGGCCCAATTTAATGCTGTTTATTTTGTGATACGGAGTTTAATTCTTCCCAAGTAATATTTTCACTTTTTAAAGTTTAAAAAATTTTTTTAAAAAACCCTTTAAATAGAGTTAAGAGAGACCCGCCAATCACGTGGCCAAAACGGGCAGTGAGGGAAACGCGAGGTCTCAAGCACAGAAAGGCAGGCGCTCTGTGGCAGAGCGGGAGGCTTGCTCTCGCCCCCGAGGCTAGCAGGTCAGGCTCAGCTCCACAGGAAGCCAGAGCAGGGCTCCTTCCCTGAGGACAGCAGCGGCAGGGAGCAAGGCAAGGAGGGGAAAAGGACATCATTATAGGCACCGAGCTCCCTAGGCTCCAGCCTCAGCTGTGCCCACTGCTCCCCTCTTGGCCTCTCTAGACAACCATTTTCTCAGCCTACAAATGGCTCAAGTGATGAATTACGGTTTCCTCACCACAATTCTAACCGATTCAAGCAACGAGAGTCCACGTAGACAACCAGGAGAACGCACACACCGCTTCTGGCGGGGCTGAGCCGGCCTCCCCTGGCCCTCGCACGCACCTCGCCCTCGGCGCCGCCCGCCCCCGGGGCAGCCTGCGGGAGAGCGGGAGCGCGCCGCGCGCGCCCGAGAACACGTGACCGGGCCGTGCCCTCGCAGCCCAGCCGCCATGTCGGCGGCGCCGGGAGAGCCCGGGCTGGGGCCTCCCGTGGGCGCCCGGTTCTTCTGTACGGCGGGCCGCGGCCTGGAGCCGTTCCTGATGCGGGAGGTGCAGGCGCGGCTGGCGGCCACGCAGGTGAGTCGGCGCCGCCCCAATCCCCTTCCCCGCGCCAGGCCCGGGGTAGTCTGCGAAAGCGACTAGAAACCGGAGCTCCCCGCCGCAGAGCGCCCTGGCGACGACGCCCCGCCCACGGCCCTGACTGGCTGGGGTGCGGCGCGGAGGGCCCGCCTCGGCGCTGCTCGGCCACTTACCAGTCCTGCTAGGGCACCCGTCAGGGCGGGAGTATGTGAAAGACAGGCGTAGAGGCAACGTCCTTCCTGGGTTCTTTAAAAGAAACTTTGGGTTCGTTCCGGCGGTTAAGCCTGCCAGGGTTAGGGTCTTTGCTTCAACCTGTACATGCAAGCAAAACCTTCGGTTTCAGTTACTTGACTCTGGTTAGCTCCTTGACAACCATTGCATTTATCTCCCGGGATGGCTGTGAGGCCCAAAGATACAAGCTGTGCAGCCTTAAATACCCATTAAAGCGCAGCTGGGAAAATAAGATACCCTTGCAGGCCTCGTGGTTGTCTGGTGCTAATTTCCATGAAATGAACAAGGTTTTGAACATCCCTGTAGGTTCTAGAGCACGCTGGGCTGCTTTGTGGAAAGCAGAGGGAAACGATGTAATAGAAAAGCTCTACATGGGGGTTCCTGTGACAGTGTGAATGAGCGTGTTCTTGGAAAAGGGGAGCTTAATAAATGCAGTGGGACTCCCCTCCGGCAGCTCACAGGGGAGTTTCTGCCATGGACGGGGAGTGGGCCAGGAAGGGTCCTCACACGTGATAAGCAGTCTTACTAATACACCTGCCATTTGTGATTTGGGTCAGAGAATTTAACAGTATTAAATGTAGCTACTCTAAAAAAGCAAGAATATGTAATAGCAATTGGTGATGGTTTTTAAGCATTTAATGTGTATCAGGCACATGTTCTTTAGGTCCTAATGGATCCTGTATTTACTTGATTTTTACAACAAACCTAGGAGAGAGGTGTTCCACATCTAGCAGGCTAGGGAAATGGAACACAGGTAAGTCCAATGGTTTATTCAAGTTATGCAGCTAAAAAATGGCAAAGCAGAGATTTGAACGCATGCTGTCTGTGTAACCAAGCCGCTTGGTTATATCATCATGCTCAACCCAGGTCAACTTGTGGTCATGACACGCTGCACTTGTCTTTGTGTTTTAACACTTAGAGTGCTTGATGTGAAAAGTAGGAGGCTTGGTCCAATCTCAATACCTAGAATTATTAGGAAAAAAGAAGGGCCCTCCCTGCTGTCTTCCATCTCCTCTAAAAACACAAAGAGATCAGGGAAACTTTAACAAGAAAATCTTGCTCTAATAAACTTGTAGGGGGCCAACATTGTGACAAAGTGGGTTAAGCCCCACCTGCAACAGTGGCGTCCCTTATTGGAGTGCCAGTTGGAATCCTGTCTACTACATTTTGGATCCAACTTCACTAATGTGCCCAGGAAAACAGCAGAAGGTGACCCAAGTGCTTGGGCCCCTGCCACCCACAAGGGAAACCTGTGTGGAGTTCTCGGTCCTGGTGTTGCTGCCATTTGGGAATCAGCAAAGCGAAGATCTCTTTCCCTCTGTTTCTCACTTTCTCTGTCACTCTGTCTTTGTTTGTTTGTTGACAGGCAGAGTTAGTGAGAGAGACAGAGAGAAAGGTCTTCCTTTTTCCGTTGGTTCACCCCCCAAGTGGCTGCTATGGCAGGCATGCTGCGCCGATCCGAAGGAAGGAGCCAGGTGCTTCTCCTGGTCTCCCATGGGGTGCAGGGCCCAAGTACTTGGGCCATCCTCCACTGCACCCCAGGCCGCAGCAGAGAGCTGGACTGGAAGAGGAGCAACTGGGACAGAATCCGGCACCCCAACTGGGACTAGAACCCGGTGTGCCGGCGCCACAGGCGGAGGATTAGCCTATTGAGCCATGGCGCCGGCCTCTGTCACTCTGTCTTTCAAATAAATAAATAAATCTTTAAGAAATAAATTTGTGGGGCCAGAGCCGTGGCTCAGTAGGTTAAAGCCCAGTCTGCAGCATCAGCATCCCAAATGGGCACTGGTTTGAGTACCAGCTGTTCCACTTCTGATCCAGCTCTCTGCTGTGGCCTGGGAAAGCAGTAGAAGGTGGCTCAAGTCCTTGGGCCCCTGCACCCACATGAGACACTCAGAAGAAGCTCCTGGCTTCAGATGGCACAGGTCTGCCATTGTAGGGAGTGAACCAGCAGATGGAAGACCTCACTTGGCTCTCGCTTGCTCTCTTTGCCTCTACCTCTCTGTAATGCTGCCTTTCAAATAAGTAAATAAATCTTAAAAAAAAAAAAAAGAAATTTGTAACTTTAGGCAAATTACTAAATTTCTGAGCCTCCCTTTCTTTGTAAAATAAAGATGACAATACTTTAAAAGGTAATGCAGTCCTTGAAATAAAGATAAATTGCACAGGAATACTTAAAATCATTCTTGCAATGACAAGAGAGTTTGTTAGAAATTTTGGTTCCCTTCCAGAAAATTAGGATTCTGAAATCTGACTTTATAAAACACATTAATTCAGAAGTGATTGTTTACTTTTAGAAAGTAATCTCTGCATTTTAATTAATGTTTTTCCAATTTTAGGGAACACAGAATCACCGGGGGACCTTGTTCAAAATGCATATTTCTGGATGCCACTAAGGCTGCTGCTAAGCCCAGGTGTTTGCTTTTTAGCATGAAAATACCCCCCATGTGAATACTTCTAGCAAACACACATGTGAAAATAGAATATCTCCTGTGTATTCTCTTCAGCCTTTTTGTCATGGAGAACTGCAAACATAGACAGAAATAAGCAGAATAGTGTGATGGATCCTGCAAACTCACCAACAGCTACAACAAAGATCAGTCCATGGGACACTTTGCTCTTGCTCACACCTTCCACTCCCCCACCCCATGTTATTTTGCAGCAAATCCCAGGAATCACTTTATCTGTAAATATTTGCCTTATCTCTAAAATATAAGGGCTCTTTTTTTATACTACACACAATATAAGGTCTCTTAAACATGGGTGCCACAATATCATTATCACAAACATCTAATCAGTGTTCAAATTTTAAATTGTCTCATTTTAAGTTTGTATAGGTCCAAATGTGATTGGTTGCTTTTCTTTTAATCACTTAATCTATAGATTTCCCCACAATCTGTGTCTCTCGTTCTGCTCCCTTCCTTGAAATTTGTGTGTTAAAGAAACTGAGTTGTTGGTCCCATCATCTTGAGCACGGGTCTGCAAACTTTGTAAAAGGCCAGATAGTAGTACAGGCTTTGTGAATCACATGTGGTTCCTGTTATGCATTCCTCTTTGTTGTTTTTACATCCCTTTAAAAAATGTAAAAGCCATTCTTTAGCTCACCGGCCTTAGTTTTTCTGAGCCCTAGTATGTGGCTGTGCTGTCCAGTAGGATCACAACTGACCACAGTGGTTGTTTAAAATTAATTAAAATGAAAATAGAAATTTGCTTTCTCAGGTGCAGTAGTCACATTTCAAGTGCTCAGAAGCCCCATGTCCCATAATGGTTGCCACAGGGCTGTAGAACATTTCCATTACTGTGGAAAGTTGTTGGGTAGCCCTGATACAGTTCTCCCTCTTCTAGATTTTGCCAATCACATCTTGGTGTAGTTTAACATGTTCCCCATTTTTTAAGTCTCTTCTGTATTGCTGTGTCAGTGTCACAGGCTGGATAATTTATAAGGAAAAAAAGTTATTTCTAACAGTAATGAAGGCTGGAAAATTCAAAATCAAGGGCCAGTTGGTTGGTGCTCTTTGCGCTGCCTCAAACATGGTGGAAGGCGTCACACGATAACAATACATGTGTTCACAATTACTTTGATTTTATTAATAGGCCTGCTCTCACAATAACCCACACTTGTGATATCAACATTAATCTATTCCAAGCTCTGCCCCCGTGGCCTGTTCACCTCTTAGGCCCCAGCATTATTGTACTTGAGAGTTAAGTTTTCAATACATGAACAGTGGGAGACTTGTTCAAATCATAGCATTCTGTGCTTGGTATTTCCTGTGAAGTAGAATCCTTTAAGTTGTGTCTAGAGCTTGGTCAGATTCAGGTTTGGTTTAAATTTTTCCCCTGGTAGTGGTGAGGCGAACTTCTTGATAGGTTCCTGAGTATTTTAAAATATTTAATTGACGTATATTCAGATGTATATATTTACTTGGACTACTTTGAAGAAATATGTTGGGAAAAATTAACCTTTACTTATTTCGTAACAGTGTTTCATGTATTATAAGAATAATAGTAGGAACAGTTATTTTTTAAGATAAAATTGAATGTATGTAGTAAAGACACCCCTGATGCCAGAAAGGTCTTCTTAATTGGTCAGTCTTTATAATCGGGTGTATCTGTGGCATCTACTTAGTCCTACCTCTATCCTCTACCATCATGACACCATTGGTTGGCCTATTGAAGACTGGGCTAACTGCTTAGATATGCTAGCAGAGAACAGAGCTGTTATTACATTCATAAAGGATGTCATTTCATCTTCAGAGGCGTAAGACACAGGTTCAACCAGTTTTAGACACTTGATTGTGATTTAATTCCAAATGAAAAAAAAACAGTTCATATATATGAATACATTTTCAAATAGCAATTATTAGAATGAACTATCTTAAAGTGCCACATTTTACCCATAGTGTTGTCACTGAATGTGACTGGTTATAGGCGATAAACTGAAGAAAAGAGGATAGACTGGCTTTGACAGCTTTTTGAAATCATAGGCACCAAATTCCTTTCTGCCTAATGCTTTGAGATATAATAGCTGTCTTCACAAAGGATAAACCACTTAAGTGCTTTCATATACATGATTATTTGATTGTCACAGTGACTAGTAAACTACTTCTGATGACATGCTTACCACTTCTAAAAGGAATCTAGGCCTTACGTTAATTCTTTTTTTTTTTTTTTTTTTTTTTGACAGGCAGAGTGGATAGTGAGAGAGAGAGAAAGAGAGAGAAAGGTCTTCCTTTCCTTTTTGCTGTTGGTTCACCCTCCAATGGCCACCACGGCTGGCGTGCTGCGGCCGGCACACCGCGCTGATCCGAAGGCAGGAGCCAGGTGCTTCTCCTGGTCTCCCATGGGGTGCAGGGCCAAAGCACTTGAGCCATCCTTCACTGCCTTCCCGGGCCACAGCAGAGAGCTGGACTGGAAGAGGGGCAACCAGGAAAGAATCCGGCACCCGACTGGGACTAGAGCCCGGTGTGCCAGCGCCGCTAGGTGGAGGATTAGCCTATTGAGCCGCGGCGCCAGCCAACCTTATGTTAATTCTTAAAGAGAACCACATTACTGATTTTGCTTTTGAGAATGTATTTGGCATCTATGCATGCTATTCCTTGATTTGACACCTAAATAAGTTAAACTTTTTTAGACCTCTTGGATGCTCAGTCCTGTTCTTTGTGGAAATCTTTCCTTCTGGACCCCCAACAACAACAACAAAGATGATATTTTTAAAGAAACTTCATTGTATGAAATGCTTCCCTTGATATTTATTTATTTCTATTTTTTTAATTTACTTTATTTATTTGAAAGACAATGTTACAGAGAGAGGTAGAGACAAAGAGAGAGGTCTTTCGTCCACTGGTGTACTCCCCAGATGGCCGCAACAGCTGGAGCTGCGCTGATCCAAAGACAGGAGCTTCTTCTGGGTCTCCCACGTGGGTGCAGGGCCCTAAAGACTTCGGCCAACTTTCACTGCTATCCCAGGCCATAGCAGAGAGCTGGATCGGAAGAGGAGCAGCCAAGACTAGAACCAGTGCCCATATGGGATGCCAGTGCTTCAGGCCATAGCACTGGGCACCTTCCCTTGATATTTAAATGAATAAGAAAAGATCTTTGTATAATTAAGTCCTACAGATGAGTGTCAAGAGCATTGACTATCAGGGCTGGTGCGTGGCGCACTAGGTTAATCCTCCCCCTGAGGTGCTGGCATCCCATATGGGGACTGGGTTCTAGTCCAGGTTGCTCCTCTTCCAGCTCTCTGCTGTGGCGTGGGATAGCAGTGGAGGATGACCCAACTGCTTGGACCCCTGCACCCACATGGAAGACCAGGAAGAAACTCCTGGCTCCTGGCTTTGGATCAGCGTAGCTCCCTCCATTGTGTGACCATTTGGAGAGTGAACCAACGGAAGGAAGACCTTTCTGTCTCTCTCTCTCACTGTAAACTCTACCTGTCAAGTAAATTTTTAAAAAAAAAAGAGCATTGACTATGTACACTGTAGTCTGTGGTCAGGATGTTTGCATCAGTTTACTTGTTTATAGGGCTTGAATTTTAAAACCATGCATTGCCAGTAAAATATTCAGTTCAGTACCTTGGCAAGTATTTCAAATCTACTAAAATGTTCTAAAGTTTGCTTTTTAAAACTTTGCTTTTGAGTTCTAAGCATTTTTAAAGTATATATTTGGGGAAAATACCACTTATGTAAGGATAAATAAGTAAATTCTAGAAACCAGAAGTTCTTGTTTTGATTACTTCACTGCCTCCCTTAAATATTGATTCTTAAACATTCTTCTCACTCCCTGAATCCTCCATAATGTCATCATCTGTTCCTCCACCTGTCTTGGTCAGCTGCATTGCTGGAACCAGAGCTATTTGGCTTTTAATTGGTACCAATCTGGGGCTCCCTCAACAGATAACCTCCTTCATCTGCCTGGAATAGAAACCGCGGAAGTTACCATCTGAAGTTAATTATATCATTTCAGCTACCCCCTCCAAAAAAAACATCTGGGGTTCATGTTCCCATGAATGGTAGCCTCCTAAACACATAGGCTCCCCAAATTCCTTTATGCCCTGGTTCTAGAGGACAGCTTCAAACCATGTTAGTCAGCCTGTGTTGACCACTAAAAGCATTCTAGGACAGTCCGCATCCATCCTGTGCTTAAGAGGGTGGTTGACCCTGAAGAGTAGGCATCATGTCCCACACCCCATTAGACTCTCTGAGTCAGTGCTCTTTTCCTTTCCACATTCCATCCTAAATCCAAAGCCTGTGTCTGTTTGATGCATGTATCCTGCTTCTGTCCATTTTCCAATTCCAGCAGCCAAATTTCTTATCATTTCTCCCTCAGTAATCTACTTCTCCCTCTAGCATCACATTCTATACTAAGTCTTTTATGCCTCTTCCAAAGTAATTTTTTCTGCCAACCAATTCAGCACTGTCACAGTTTTCATCAGAAGTCTATAATGGCTGACCATTACCATCTGCAGTACTCAAAATTTCATGACCATTTATCAAGCTGACCTGAGCTACCCCAGCCATCTACCTGACACTATCAATCAGTGTAACACAGCAAATGTTGGCAAGCTCACTTACAATTTATTTCAAGCAGATTTTCACTCCCACTTCTGCATCTGCCCCTTGTTCTTTTGTTAGAATTCCTCTTCCCAAATCTTACAAGATTCTTCCCCAAGACTTTCAATAATGTTGGTTTCCGTACTCACCTACAGCTTATCAGTGCATTATAATATTCAAATGGCGTAGTTTTCTTCTAGCTTTAATTCAAGTTGTTAAAGTGTTTACATTTTAATTTGTATATCAGTAAATGTCCACTACATTATTATTTAGGATATATGCTGCATGCTTCCTGGTAGACCACAGGCAGATACCCATGGACTGGACCTAGTTTTCTTATGCATTAGCCCTTTATTTTGCCTACTTTTAAATGGTGTGTGAGGTTTGGTCATGTAGCAATTGAGCAATAAGGATTCCTGTAATGATGGGGGGAGAGAATATGCATTCAGATTGCCTAACCAATAAATAGTAAGCACTTCAAAAATGGTCCTTTTAAATAATATATATGTTCAATCTAAATGATTAAGGGGGGTGGGAAGGAAGTCATTCTTACCCTGACACTGGACTACATTCATATCTGTTTTTCTATCTCTAGGTTGAATATATTTCAGGAAAGGTTTTTTTCTCCACCAGTTCTGATTTGAATATGCTGAAGAAATTAAAATCTGCAGAAAGGTTGTTTTTACTGATTAAAAAGCAGCTTCCATTCACTGTTTCTTCTGTATCTAAAGGTACAGTGTATGCCTATTACTTTTACCTACACTGCATTTACCATATTGTACTCATATTATCCACAATGTTCTCCCATGTTTGCTGCATAATAATTAATATGTAGCCAGTTCACTATTTTAAGATTCATTCATACATGTGGGTTACTAATTATGTATTTTTTCTGTATCTTCTGAATACTATTATTTGATAATCATGGAATCTGGCTTTTCTCCATATAACCTGCTGCTTATATTTTGAGATTTCAGTATCCTAAGCCACATATCTTCTTTAAGAATTATCATCAGGTATTTACACATATATTGCATTTATTGAATTCGGAAGCATTTGCTATCCCAAAATGCATGGTTTTCATAATAAATTGATAAAACTGTCACCTTAAAACTGAGGGATATAATTGAAAAAATACTTCATAGTATTTTTTTAATTGGGATCTTAAATGCTTTCAGTAAAATTGTACCCATTTATAAAGCATTAGAACTAAAAGGAGCTTAAGACAGTTCTCCAGTCCCTAATTTTGTAAATATGCTGCTAAAATAATTTAAGGATCTTTATTAAAAGCAGCAAAACAAAAACAGGGTCAGATACTGTAGGATTAAAGAATGCTTTAAACTTGAATTTGATTTAAATTTGATTATAAACCATTTCAAAAAAGATACAAATAATAAGAAATTGAGATTTGGCATAAAAGTTATTTTAAAGCAAATCTCGAGGTGCAACACTGTGGGGTCAGTGTAATTTCATCCCGATGGTCTGCACGCTCCCATCCTTAGGGAACCTCTGTAATCACTTCTGCATCAGCTCGGTGGCGCTTGTTCATCAAGGAAAGATGGACTTTTGCTGAGCGTGCTGAGCATCCCTAACTCAGCGTGGGTCGTGTAGCGGAAGTGTCGCTTTATGGAAGCATGCTAATTTCATATGGCCTAAAGTGAGATAGACCCAAGATCAGACGCTCTGCTTCTGAACTCTGTGTTTCACATTGCTTCTTTAAAACAAAAACAACTTAATTTTTCTGGACAGGATTACCATTATTTCAGATTCGTGTATGCTCTAGACCTATGCATATACTGAAGAGCTGCATATATCATGGGACAAGTGATCTTGCTAAGGTATCATATTGTAATCCCATAGGAATTTTAATGCCAGATATACACTATAAGAATGAATTCTGTACAGCACAATATTATTGGATTACATTATATAAATTCCAAATGAAAATGAAATTATTATTCATGTAGAAGTTTAGTAAAACAATTTAGTGAAATAAAGGTATAGAGTTTGGGAGTGATGAATATGATTGATGGTCTCTGATGTTTCAATATACAATAAACTGAGGTTTTGTTCATCTAGGAAAAATATTTAGTGAAATACAAAGACTTATAAATGATGATCCAGGAAATTGGTTGAATGTCATTTCAATTTGGAAAAATCTTCTTGAACTGAATACAGAAAATGAAAAACTTCCTCAAAGAGACACTAACCCACTAAAAAGAAAAGTGGGAGAAAATGAAACTGTTGTTGCTAAGAAATCAAAGACAGAGCAAACACAAAAGATAGAAGAGAACCGGGAATGCCAGGTGGGCAAACAGAGAGAAGAAGAAACCCTGGAGCAAAGAGAGCCTGTCGCTACCAGGGAAGAACTTCCAGAAGCAGCATCAGAGAATGATGTGGGGGAAGCCGTGGAAACGCATCCCCAGGGCCACTTGACTTTCCGAGTTTCCTGCCGCTGCAGCGGAACCGTTGGAAAGGCCGTTACTGCACAGGTATGCTTTCCTCCAGAGTAGAGGTCCGCTTTGCAAGAGAGTTCATCAGTCTTTAGATTTAAAATGCGACGCAGTTGTTTCTCGGGTCAGATAATTAGGCCCAATCTCTTACAATCAGATATCCCTAAGGAAGCATTTTCCTTTTTAACTTTACCTGAAATGCTGAAGAGAAATTAGTCCATGTAAAGACATTCCTTTACTTTCTGCCTAAAAGTTTCCTTAAGCTCATAGATAATCCTTTGCACATGGAAATCCTGATATCATGTTCTGAAGCTTTTCAGATGTATCTTCAGTTCCATTCTGTTTATGCAGTGAGTACTGTGCACCAGAGTGCTGTGCGGGGTTGTCACTGGGACCCAGACCACAATCCACAAATGTACACAAGATCTCAACAACCAAAAAGAGCAACCACCAGGTGGTTTGCAGCACAGAGGCTTACCAGTTGACCGTTGCAGAATTCAGTGATGTAAAGGACATTGGCCTAAAGGCTGAGACTAATAATACTGATCTGGTCGTTTTGAAACATAAGATTATGGTAGCTAAAACAATCTTGTGCTTTCATCCATTTCCTAAAATCTGGAACAACTGTAATTAACAGGTCATGAACTGGTTATTTAATGTACCTAAAATTATAAGAATAGAGATGACACATGAGTTAAGCGTTATTGGCAAAAAGTGTTTTCAGTGGTTAGAGGTAAAATGTTACCTTCTTGCTTTGAATAGAAAATGGTTTTTTTTGTTTTGTTTTGTTTTTTTTGACAGGCAGAGTAGACAGTGAGAGAGAGAGAGACAGAGAGAAAGGTCTTCCTTTTGCCGTTGGTTCACCCTCCAATGGCCGCCACAGCCAGCGCGCTGCGGCCGGCGCACCGCGCTGATCCGATGGCAGGAGCCAGGTGTTTCTCCTGGTCTCCCATGGGGTGCAGGGTCCAAGCACTTGGGCCATCCTCCACTGCACTCCCGGGCCACAGCAGAGAGCTGGCCTGGAAGAGGGGCAACCGGGAAAGAATCCGGCGCCCTGACCGGGGCTAGAACCCAGTGTGCTGGCGCCGCAAGGTGGAGGATTAGCCTATTGAGCCACGGCGCCGGCCAGAAAATGGTTTAGTGTACTATTTTAATACATTACTAATTAATACACATCAATTTAATCAATGTTAATATTTATTGTATATTTACTATTTTATGTTAATATATTAAATATTGATTAATATAACCCTAAATTATCATCAGATCATCTGATTTTATTTTTCCTACAGGTTCTGTTTGTGCTTGTGTTTAAATTAAAATTTTTTACTTTTTAGTTTCTTATCTTTTCTAAATACTCTGCTGTTTTTCCAGGAGGTAGGAAGAGTAATTGGAATTGCTCTTATGAGACAGTTTGGATGGAAAGCAGATTTAAGGGATCCAAACTTAGAGGTAATGAATATTTTATATCTTTGTAGAGTAATTATTTAAAGACTGTTCTTATAATTTTTTTCTTGTTGTACTTTTTAGTTTTACTTTGTAGAAGTTTTAAAAATATATCCACATAGATGCAACAGGAAAATTGTGTACATAGTTTTGCTGGTAATTTTCACCTTAAAAGTTTCTTATCCAAACTCAGAGGAAAAAAAAAAAAAAGTCCCTTTGGAATGGAGTTGTTTGGCCACAATTAGAGAAAAACACTTATCTTTCAAGGATGCAGAGGTACTCTGTAAACCTCTATAATACATAACAAGTCTTTATAATAAATTCTGGCCAGTGTTTATAAAAAAATTAGTAGCAAAAGGACCTGTACAAAATTCAACACTATGTTAATGGTGGCTTTGTTAGGTTTACGTCCATAAATGCCAGGGCTGAGGCCAGAGCCAGGAGCTGGACACACTATCCAGCTCTCCCACGTGGTGGCAGAAACCCAATTACTTGAGCCGTCTCCTGCTGCCTCCCAGGATCTGCACTGGCCTGAAGCTGGAGTCAGGAGGCAGAGCCAGGAATCAAACCCAGTTCTCCAGTATGGGAAGCAGGTTATCTCAATCACCAGATTAAAGGCCTGCTTCCTTTCTTCTCCATTTTCAAAATTATTTTTATAAAGTTACACTGTTTTTAATTGGAACAAATACATAGGGGAACAAAAAATAATCTTCGCTACATTTTGAACACCATTTTATACATTTTACAGATACAGTAGGCACTTAGTCTAGTGGTTAAGGACACTTGTGTCCATATCAGAATGCCTGAATTTGGTGCCCAGCTCCTGCTCCTCTGTCCAGCTTGCTGCCAGTGTTGACCCAGGGAGACAACAGTGATGGTTTAAGTAATTGGGTTTCTGCCATCATCCTGGGAGACCTGGGTTGCGTTCTCAGTGCCCAGCTGCAGCCCCAGTGTAGCCCCAGACATTATAGGAGAATGTTATGAATTGAACAGGATTTGGCTCCCCAAACTCACAAAGCCCTTTGAACCCCAAAGTTGTATGTTAATGGTTGGTGGGTGAAACTAATCAATGAGGGATATGGGTGGAGGCTTGACTGAGTTAATGGCTCCAGGAGACGGAGCCTCTGGAAGGTGCTTGAATTAGGCCGGGTTGGACAAGTGGAACCCTATGATCACATCGTGGTAGCTTTATAAGAGACCATATAGAGGGTAGGGGAAGAGTGTGCTTCCTGTGTCTGTCTGCGCCCTGGCTTAGCCTGTGATCAGCCCTCTGCACACACCTCACCATTGCCAGCCTTCCTCAAATGCCAGACTTGTCCCATAGGGGCTAGCTAGTCTTGCACTGTGAACCTCTTCATGGCCTAAAAGAAGAAAAGAAAGGGAGGCAGAAATTCTTTACAGAGAGTAGAAAATAAAAAGGGCATCCAAGTTACTGTATTTTTGAATAAAGAAAGCTTTCTGTTATCGTGCAGCTATTTGTAGCCTGTGAAAGCCCTGTTGTGGGCTTGAGTCTTATTTGATGTGAAAATTAGGGTCACTTTATGAAATCTTCTCGAACTCTAAATGCTGAAAAATCAAATTCTGTTATGATAATTCAAAAACTCTGGGGAAAAAGTTGATCTTAACTTCTTTGTAACATGATTTTCTGTATAACTTGCATACCAAGTTGACTTCAGAATTTTTCTATGGATGTGCTTAAACTTAGTTTGTGTCTGCTTAAGAAAAAAATACAATATAGAACATGTTTCTAGATATGGCAAAGAAGACCTTGGAATGATTAAGGTACAAATCATTCAAGTTATCAGTAACTGGGTGATGCAGGTTCCGTGCTTGTTCTTTCAGGTCTTTATCCATCTAAATGACATTTACTCGGTGGTTGGGATTCCTGTGCTCAGGTAGATATGCAATTCTAAGTTTGAGATTTGTTCCCTAGAATGTATGCACTTTCTATTTATAGTGTGAAACTTTGATATAACAGAGGAGGCTAAAGACAGAGCACCTGAGTTCATGGCTAAAGCCATTAAAATGTCTTCATGGGGCTTGGTGAATATGATTTGATATAACTGGTTAGAGTGGCGAAGATATCATCATAGAAATCCATTGAATGCATAATTGATCTTGAAAATTATGTCTAGTTAATTCTGTAAAATGATTTTCACAGGCCCATGTTTAAGCTAAAATTTTTAGTCTATTGGCATTTTGCAGTTTTAATTAAAATAGGAAATACAGCATGGTTCTTTAAATTCACCTTGAACATTCTCCACATTTTATTACTGTTATTCTTCTGTTGTGGAAAGTTGTTTATTGATATCTCCCAATCATGTAGAGGACTAAATAATAAATGAAAATTATTTTTTCTTTTTCTTTTATAAAGATTAATTTATTTGTTTTGAAAATCAAAGTTAGAGAGAGGGAGAGACAGAAGTCTTCCATCTGCTGGTTCACTCCTGAGATGGCCACAATGTCTGGGGATGGGCCAGGCTGAAGCCAGGAGCCAAGAGCTTCATCCAGGTCTCACACATGGGTGGGAAAACCCCAAACACTTGGACAATTTTCCGCTGCATTTCCCAGGCCATTAACAGGGAGCTAGATGGGAAGTGGAGCAACCGGGACAGTGCCCAGGTAGTGATTTAACCTGCTACACCATAACGCCAGCCACGATGTGTTTCTGTGTTAAAAATTATTTATTGAATTCTCATTATGCAGCAGGTACTTTTTCTGGGTGCTTTGGGAGAAAGAGCTGGATGGATGAAAATAGTGATTTCCTGATTCTTGGGAACATATATATATTTGCATCTCAAAATACTTTCTATGTGTGTGTATATATATATGTATATATGTATATAATCTCCCTGCTTTTATGACAAAAACTGATTTATAGGCCATTTTTCTAGGCCATTCTTGACATAGTGTTTTTTTTTTTAATGATTTATTTATTTATTTGAAAGGCAGAGTTACAGAGGGACAGAGGCAGAGAGAGAGAGGTCTTCCATCCACTGGTTCATTCCCCAGATGGACAGAGGTGGGCTGAACCAAAGCCAAGAGCCAGGAGCTTCTTCCAGGTCTCCCACACAGGTGCAAAGGCCCAAGGGCTTGGGCCATCTTCTACTGCTTTCCTAGGCCATGGAAGAGAGCTGGATCATAAGTAGAGCAGCTAGGAAGCAGGCAGTGCCGGCAGCAGTTTTACCCATTGTGCCACGTTGCCGGCCCCTAGAATATTTTAAAGATCATAAAAATCTGGGCCAGGTATTGGCACAGCTGTTAAGACACCACTTGGGATACCTGCATCCCATATTGGAGTGCTTAGGTTTAAGCCCTCCCTGCTTTGCTTCCAAATTCAGCTTACTGCTAACGTACACCCTGGGCAGCTGGTGATGGCTTAAGTAATTGAGTCTTTGCCATCCACATGGGAGGAGGCATGGATTGAGTTCCTGGCTCCAAGCTTCAGCCTGGCCCAGCCCCAGATGTGGTGGCATTTGGAGAATGAATCAGCAAATGGGAGATATCCGTCTTTTTCTCTTTGCCTCTCAAACACCTACATTTTTTAAAGTAACAATCATAAAAATCCTATGAGAATATGACAATTGCTTTAAGCTCACATTTGTGATTTATCTGTAAGCCTAAATCAGTATTTATTTTAAAATGCTTAAGATTAGGGGTTTGGCATTGCAGTGTAGCAGGTTAAACCACCGCTTGCAGTGCTGGCACCTCTATCAAAATGCCAGTTCAAGTCCCAAATCCAGCTTCCTGCTGATTGGCCTGGGAAGGCAGCAGAAGTGGCCCCTGCTACCACTGTAAGAGAACAGGATGGAGTTCCTGGCTTCTGGCTTCAGCCTGGTCCAGACCTGGCTGTTGCGACCATTTGAGGAATGAACCAACTGATGGAAGAACAGGTTCTTTTCTCTCCCTCTCCCTCTCCCTCTCCCGTTCCTCCTCCCTCTTACCCTTCCTTTCTCTCTCTTCCCCACCTCCCCCTTCCCCCTCCTCCTCTCCCTCTCTGCCTTTCAAATAAATATGTAAATATTTTTAATGCTTAAGATTATTATAATAGCTTTTATCTAATGGTGAGCTTTAGCGGTTCACTAGCATGGAGCTGAAACCATTGTGGATATCTAAGAGATGTTTAATGATTGAATTCTTGCTGTGTGCTAACCACTTGGTAGGCTCCACCAACATCTGATTATAAGATCATGAGCTAAATAAAAGTTCTTGTCACCATAACACTTGTGAGGTCATCACATACCTCGATGCTTTAGTGATTTCCCATGCCCCATTACTTTACATGTTCTTCCAGACCAAAGGTTTCTAGGCTGCCCTGCCCCCATGCCTTTTGGCACCCCAAGACCCAGCACCTAGAAGGTATTCATAAAACTGATTGACTTTAATTTGAACAGTATTTTGTAGCTGAGTTTCTAAAACTATAATAGCAGATAAAAAGATGGGGAAAACAGAAAGATGACCAGATTTCAACCCCGTATAATTATTGATTGTCCCCCAAATAGGGGGGATAACAAAATTGGCAAAACAACCCAAGACATGAAATATATTTTTTAAATATTTATTTATTTATTTATTTGAAAGTCAGAGTTAACACAGAGAGATAAGGAGAGGCAGAAAGAGAGAAAGAGAGTCTTCCATCCACTGGTTCACTCCCCAATTAGCCGCTACAGCCAGAGCTGCACCGATCAGAAGCCAGGAGCCACAGCTTTGTCTGGGTCTCCCATTTGGGTGCAGGGACCCAAGGACTTGGGCCATTCTCAACTGCCTTCCCAGGCCAGCATTTTCTGATCCAGCAGAGAGCTGGGTCAGAAGTAGAACAGCTGGGTCTGGAACCGGCGCCCATGTGGGATGCCAGCACTGCAGGTGGTGGCTTTACCTGCTACACCACAGTTCTGGCCCCATGAAATATATTTTTAAAAGAATTCTTGAGGCCATTATACTATTTATTTATTTATTTATGGATTCATTTGAGAGACAGAGAGGGAAAGAGAGCCCTCATCTGCTGGTTTACTCCCCACATGCCTGCAACAGCCAAGGCTCAATACAAGTCCCCCACATGGGTGGCAGACACCCAAAGACTGGAGCCAACCCGAACTGCCTTCCAGGTTCTGCATTGGCAGGAAGCCGGATTCAGGAGCCAGAGCTGAGAATCAAACTCAGGAACTATGACTAAGTTTAGGGAATGCAGCCTAGTGGTAAAACAGACATGTGATGGGTGCTTAGCTGGCATTAGGAAAGAATCCCTGACTCTGATGGAAGTGGTGAGCGAAAGAACATACAGGAACATCAAAATTTAAAAAAAAAAATTTAACGAGGAAGTTGTGTTTAAAAATGAAAGATGGGAAGAAAGGAGACCCCTCTAATAAATGCTTATCATAGCCCAGGCAATGCATGCTGAGGAACTGAACTAAGGCAAAAGTAGGGCTAACAAAAACCATGGGTTCAAGAAAAAGTTAAGGAGTCTAGTATAACTTCCAAGTTTCTGGATCTCAGCAACTGGTAGAAACTGACTGGCATTAGTCACTGAGATGATACAAAATGTAGGAATGGAAACAGTGTTTTCAGCAAAAAATGCCCAGGTAGATATTTAAAGTTACACATCTGGGGTTCCAGGGACAAGCCAGCCTGAAGACATAGATGAGGATACTCAGTACATAGGCAGTAAGTGGCAGAAGAGGATGAAGAAATGGCTGGTGTTGTATCACAGAGGGTGAAAATGCTATTCTGAGGTAGCCTCATCCCATGTGGGACTGCTAGTTCAAGTCCTGGCTGCTTTGACTTCTGCTCCGGTTTCCTGCTAATGGGCTTGGAAAGGCAGCCAATGATCTCACAAGTATTTGGGCCCCTGCCACCCATGCGGGAGACCCAGATGGAGTTCTAGATTCTTGGCATCAGCCTGACCCAGCCCTGGTTGTTGCAGGCTTTGGAAAGCAGATGGAAGATCTCTGTTTCTATCTGTCTTTCCCTGTTACTCTGCCTTTCAAGTAAATAAATATATATAATCATTTTTAAAAAAAGGGGGAAGCAATTGTATGGGGATATTCAATATGGGGAAAGGGGAGTGTTCGGTTTATACCTGCTGATTTTGCACTACTTAACCTCCAGGTAAAAATGGCTAAGCATGTATTTGAAGATAAAGATTTGGGTTTCAGGGACAGCTGTTCCCTAGACATGTAGATTAACATGTCTGTGTCTTGGAGATAAATAATGTCCAAAAGAACAAAGGAGAAGTGAGTATACTTGTATGTGGAAAAGTGAATCCAAAAAAAAACCCGTATTTATTCTTGTTCTAAAATCTGATTATAACATTAGATTCTATGAAAGTAGAGCATTAGTTTTATCCTCGAGGAGTTTATTTCTGAACAGTCTCCCCTTGACTCAGTTTTTTACACTGATATAATGGGGCCCTTATGTTAAGTAATAGATCAGCTCAGGTTAAAGCCAAATAACAAGTGCACTTGTGTCACGTATTAATAGTGTTGGCTCTCACAAAATAAAACTCAGTAAAAATGTATATTTGCTTGTCAAAACTCTCAAAGGTTCCACACGCATCTCGGCTGCTTAGCAGAGCAGTCTGAGATCTACGTAGCTGAGGAGTATGTGTTTTTGGTATCTTGAGAGCAAACTGCATTTTGCATTGTTGAGTTCACCCTGTAGAAGCAAAATTCCTTGACCAAAATATATTACAGTCTTCCTGCATGACACTTTATGTCCAGATTCCAAATTTGTGGATATAGTACTGTGTACAGCATGGATTTATTTCCTGAAACAAAAATATTAAAAAGGCAAACTTCCAAGGCAGGTATCTGGCTCAGTGGTTAAATCACCCTTTGAGGCATCCGCATTTCATATTGGAGAGCCTGATTTCTGTCACAGCTCTGCTTCTGTTCCAGTTTCCTACTAATGTGCACCCTAAGAGGCAACAGGTGATGGCTCAAATACTTGGGCCCTGCCACCCATGTGGGAGACCTGGATTAAGTTCCAGGCTCCTGGCTTTGGCCTGACCCAGCCCTGACTGTTGCAGGAATCTGGGAAGTGAACCAGCAGATGGAAGATTATCCTCTCTTCCTCTCTCTTTCTCTCTCTCTCTCTGCCTTTCAAATAAAATGAAATAAATTAATTAAAATGTTTTAAATACTGAAATAAAAAGGCACACCTCCATGGTTTGCCACGTAGAACTTCCTTGTTACAACACTAAGTGTCTAATTATACTGTTGTATTTGAAAGGGATACATCCTCTAATCCTGAGATTTTTCAAGGTTTGCACAAACTGCATGTGAACAGGATAATTTAAAGTCAAAGAAAAATGGGTGGAGGAAAAAGTGGGGGGTGCTCTGTGAGCAGGGCAGTGGACTCACTGGGGAGGTGTCTGCTTCGCCCTTGGTGCAGCGCCGTGCCTTGTCTTTTGAGAAAGAGGCACATGTGCAAAAGCAAACTTACAGGAGAACCTTTTATAGAAAACAGATTTCAGGGGTGAGCACCCGTTCAGCCCTCCTTCCCCTGCCACATCTGTTTTACTGAATCACCGAGCAGTGCATTCTAGATGAGTCTAGATAAGGGGAAATGGTCTCTTCCAGTGAGACAACAGAGAAGTCTAAGGGAGAGTTCCCTCATGGGTGATTAAACTTTAATAAATTAAAACACGTGGAAGTTTAAATTTCAGTTATCTGAAAAAATGTACCTTTATGAAATATCACACTGGCTCATTAGACAAGGTGCCCAATTAGAGAAGGTATTTTTGTAGTAAAGTTAAAATTTTCAAAGTAGAGAATAGTATATATCAGATGACTATGATCAAAATGATTCTCAGGTGCTAACAGCTTACTCATTTTAATTTCTATCTTGATCTTTGATATTCAGTAAGATTCAGTATGCAACCAGGTTCTTTTCTTCCTAGGGTGCCTTTAGCCAGCAGGGCGTACATTAAGACAGCCGGACTGCGATCCACCATAGCTTGGGCAATGGCCTCTCTTGCTGAAATTAAGGTAAGGAAAATGTTCCATTCCTTTAATAACAAAGTCCTTTCCGTAATTAACTTATTCCATGTGGATTACTTGCTGCCTTTCTACTTCCTTCTCTTTTAGTTTTTTCTTTTCCTTTTTTGTTGTGTTGCTGTCACTGCTGTGATGCGTTCTTGTGTGTTGTTGGACTTCCGAGAATATTTTGACTCCGAAGAAGCTGAATCAGAAATTAGCTGTGTTTCATTATTTCTAGATGCTTGGTGTCATGATCAAAAAATGTGACCTGTAAAACCTCAACTTCTTCCAAAAGTTTTTCCCTGTGACCAGGATCTTGATCAGTTTCCATAAATGTTCCATGAGCATGCAAAAATGTGATTATCTAATCTAGAAATGTTCTCTGCTAGCCTTGCTGACTGTGGTACTACCTGCTCCATTATGAAAGAAGCATTTCAGAATCTTACATTGCTGTATGCTTTTGGCTAATGCTCCATGGTCTGGTACACGTACTTTATTTATAGCTGTGACAGCTTCATCATGAATTGTACCTTTTTGTTGTTACCTAAAGTCCCTGTTAATGTGATGAGTTTAAGCAGTTTTCAGTCCTGATATCTGTTTGCATTTGCCCAGTGTTTCTTTGCCACTGCTTTATTTTCAACTTTATTTTCTTACCACGGTGGTCTTTAGTCTGTCAGAGAATTCCATGTTCGTGACAGGGACAGTTGGGTGTATTCCTTCTGTTTTACTCTGTCCATTACTTTCTTTTCTTTTCTTTCTTGTAAAGATTTTATTTCTTTATTTGAGAGGCACAGTTACAGAGAGAAATAGAGAGCAAGGCCTTCCATCCACTAGTTCACTCCCCAAGTGGCCCCAACAGCTGGAGCCGGGCCAATCCAAAACCAGGAGCCAGGAGCTTCCTCCAGGTCTCCCATGCAGGTGCAGGGGTCCAAGTACTTGGGCTGTCTTCTGTTTTCCCAGGCCACAAGCAGAGAGCTGGATCAGAAATGGAGCAGCCGGGACTTGAACCAGCATCCATATGGGATGCAGACGCTGCAGGTGGAGGCTTGGCCTGCTATGCCGCTGCACCAGCTCCTGTCCATTACTTCTGATGCTGTTTATTTTTTCCTTTCTGATTTGATCAAGTAACTTGCTAATTATTGCATTGTTCTCTCTGAGGTTGGAGATTTTTCTTGATTAAGTTCCTTTTCCCAGCACTCCTAATTAAATATATGACCCTGTTGACCACCAAGGCACTCAGATTTTCGCCAGCTGCTCGCCTGCCTGTCACAAGGGGTGACCTGTGAGGACTTTTCTCTCCTCCCCGCCCTCCGGACTGCAAATCATAGCCAGGAAACTCAAGCTCTGTGAATCATGGTTGTTAGAAGGCAGAAGTACTGCTGTCCTGTGGCCTGTGTCCACAAGTGCCGTGACTGGAAAAGGCCTTGTGATACCACACAGACACTGAAGGCTATTTTAGGGCACGCTGTGTTGTTGAACGTAGACCATGGGTGGGGGGGGACCGCATATTTGGCACATTTTAAGGACTCCTCATTAATTCTGAACCAAATGGCCATTTGGAATCATTCCTTTTGTTACTCATTGCCCTTCCTGGGGGGAGCCATGTGGTCGACTCCTTGGAGTTTAGTGTCAGGGGAAAGAGCCTCTCTCCTGAAGCACGTCTTGTTTCTTCCTATTAGGTACCCTCTGGCCCTGACTGAAACTGGCTGCCAGTGAGTACCCTGCTTCCCCTGTAGACATGTCCGGCGATGGCTGGCTTTTCTCCCATCCCGAGTGCCGCCGGGCCCGCACGTTGGGTAGGTGTCCTGCGTGCTCCTCACCTCCCCTTCCGGCTGATGGTTGCCTCCTTCTGCCCAGAAGCCCTCAGTAGCTTGGACACACAGGCCGTCAGATGATGCCTGCCACACACAGATGCCTCCCGCTGTGTCTCCCACCAGCGTCCGGGCCAGTCTCCCTGTCATTATTCTTCCTGATCTCCATGGCCTCAAATAACCTGCCCCTCAGTTTCTTGGCTTAGTTGCATCCTGGACCTTGTCATACCCAGAAAGTTTCCCTTCATAAATCTGAATTTCAGGAATCTTGTTCTTAATGCTTTCCTTTTCTGGTTTGCTTTCCCTTGTCCCCTAACACAAACCTAATCTCCCAGGGACACCCAGGCATTTGACCTGACAGCTGTCTGTTAGCTCTCCACCTGTCCTCACCGGTCTTCTAGAGCTTGGCTTTATCTTCTGTTCTTACCGTCATTTCCTGACCCATACTTTTAACTCGCTTGCTCTGTATTTGACTTAAGTATTAGCATCAGAAGGGAACTTCATCAGGTCCTCTTCACCGTACTTACAGACACATGTGAATCTGGGCCCACGTAGTCTGCCTTTCTGTCGTCAGAACGGGTGAGCACTCTGGTGCTCGTGTGCTGGATTCCAGCCCCTTGTGTCTAGGTTTCTGCTAGGTCATTGCTGTCAGCATGTACACCTCCTGGAATGTCTTGCAGTGTGGGAAAAATGTGCCTACACCACACTTCCTTCCCCTGCCACTGCCTTTCTCTGCTTCTCTTTACAGAAGAACCCTTAAAAGTCATGGTCCGCGTTTGCTTCTCTGCTGCCTGTGCCTGCCTTTCTCTCCATGCGCTCGTTCCATGGCCCTCAGGCTTTCAGCAGAGCGACCCCGGCCTGCTCACCTGGTGACATTTTGGCGCTGTGCTCGCTCTCCTTCTGGAATCGGTTTTTTCCACTTTGTTTCAGAGTCACTGCTCGGATTCTTCTACGTCAGCTTCTGTTGCTGCTCAGTTTGTGCGGCTGAATCTACACCTTCCAAACATCTGCACGGGAGTCACGGAGGCCCAGTCCATAGACTTCTGCTGCTGCCTACATGATGTCACCCCATTCTGGCTCTTAAATGATATTTATACACCAACTGATGCTGACTATTCCCAAATTTGTGTCTGTAGCCCACGTCTCCCCTGAATTTGTGTGTCCAGTGACTCACTGGATGGCCATCCTTGCAGATCGAAGAGGAATCTCAATAGTAACGTGCAGAACTATACCCTGTCTCCCTCAAACCTCCTCCTCCCAGCTTCTTCCTGTCATGGTAACAGGCAACTCTTCCGGTTTCTCAAGGCCAGATTCCCAGGTGTTGTCTTCCTTTACTAATCCGCATCCAGTCCATCGTGGTGGCCCCCCTTTTAGAATACGTCCAGAATCCAACCACCAGCCCCTTCTCCCCACGTCCACCCATACCACCCTGCATTCGAGCTCCACGATCTCATGCCGGGACTGTCTACCTGGCCTCCTCGTTCCCTCACCCTTCTGTGGTCTGTTCTCAACCCGGCAGCCAGAACGATCCTTTTGAGCTGACATGTCATGTGTCCGATAGTTGCCTGTCCTTCAGAACAGAACCAGAATCCCTACGTCGGACATGAGTGATTCCCAGAGTAGGAGGAATTCTTTTTTTTTTTGGAAATTTCCTGTTCTTTCAGGGAGAGGTAGGATTGTACTTCCCCTTGGAACCGTGTGCCATGTGACTAACATGGTTCAGCTAATTACATGCTGGTGAAAGTGGTGTGTGTCGCTGGCTGGTGGCACCCTTCACCCCAGTGCACAGTCCCTCATGCTCGCTTTCCCCCTGCCGTGGTGATGGCAGCACACCAGATGGCTTCCAGAGTTGGGAGCAGAGGGCCCTGGTGCTGTTTTGTGTTAAACCTGTCAGACATGACTTTGCATAACCCAGCCCAGCAGCATGGGGTCCCCAGGCTACTTCTGTGAGGTCCTCACCATCTTTCTCTCCTACTCGCTGTGCTTTGACACAGTGGCCCCCTGCCTATTGTTAAACATGCCAAACACATCCCTGCCTTAGGGCTTGAACTAATTGAAATTCCTAGTAAAGCATAAAGAGGAATCTTTACTCTTGAAATGTGGATCCTCAAGTTTCAGCTCACTTTTATAATACCTGCTGTGGTGGACTGGATAAACCAACTTAATGTTTTTGTTTGTAGGCTGGTGCATTTGTTTTGGATCCCATGTGTGGACTTGGAACAATACTTCTGGAAGCTGCTAAGGAGTGGCCAGTGAGTTCTGATGTTTGGTATATCAAGCATGTGTTTACTTTATTATGTATAGCACTTGCCAGTTATTCACTAGTAGATCATCCATTTGGGGATTGTTATTTTTAATTACATGAGTTACCATTCCCTGTATGTAAAATAGATTATGAAGCATTAAATAATTGCTTTGTTATTTTTATAAATATTGTGATCAATTCGGAGAATGAGACAAGATTCTAATAATTAGTCACAACCTAGATTATACTAATCCCCATATTCTTCAAATATCTGCAAATGTAAAATATTAACAGATTTTACAATTTTAACAATAACTTTAGAATTTTTTCTACTGAATACAATTTGAAATGAATAATATAAATTTGTTTCAACTTGAATTTTAATATCTATTAATTTCACTTTAATTATTAGTACTATCACAAAAATACAATTTTCTTGACTACATAAAAAGCATTTTATTCATACTTAAAATATGAGTTTCTTTCCCGATAGGACGTGTTTTATGTGGGTGCTGATGCTAGTGACTCACAGCTACTCGGTGCCTGTGACAATGTAAAAGCTGCCGGACTTGAGGATAAAATTGAGTTACTTCAACTCTCTGTTTTAGGTAAGAAGTTAAAATGCAGAAATTGAGGCAAATGAACATATATAAATCTATTTCAAAGCATAATATAAAAACAATTAACTTATAAAGAGCTTTTGTTTATATCCTGTGTAGTATTTTACCTCCAGTTTCATAACGTGTCTGTTTTTCCAAAGGTTTGTGATTAGTAAGCAACATGTCTATAGTTTCCATATGCATTTAAAAAGAAGCATGACTTTTTTTTTTAAAGATTCATTTATTTATTTGAGAGTAGGAGTTACCGACAGAGAGGGAGAGACAGAAAGAAAAGTCTTCCATCTGCTGGTTCACTCCCCAAATGTCTGCAACAGCTGGAGCTGGGCTGATCCAAAGCTAGGAGCCAGGAGCTTCTTCTGAGTCTCCCACACAGGTGCAAGGGTCCAAGCATTTGGGCCATCTTCAACTGTTTTCTCAGGCCATTAGCAGAAAGCTGGGTGGAAAATGGAACAGCTGAGACATGAACCAATAGCCATGCTGGTGCTGCAAGCTGAGGCTTAGCCTTCTACGTCACAGAGCCAGCCCCAAAGCATGAGTTTTTAAAGATGTGTTTGTTGCATCTAAATCATTTCTCACATCATAACCAGGGATTAGTTAATATAGGCATAAAATAAGGAGAGCAGTATGATGATAATAAAAACTCTTAAATTCGTCCAGCTACACTATGTGAAACACTCAGAATTATTTTGTCTTCTTCTTGCCTCATATTGGAGTCAGATAATGAATTGTTCCAGTTGGCAAAGCCAGGACTCTCAGTGCTAAAACCAGGAAAATCCAGAACAAACCAGATTAACTATTATTAACTAATATTTACTATTAACTTGGTTGCACTGTAAGGACAGCATTACCCTCTACTCACTGACAGAATCAGCACAGGTAGACATGGGTAGGAATCAGGTCTACTGAGCCCAGTCTAACATTCCTTAGATCCGTGGTTTTTAACTATTTTAGGGAAGCTGCCCATTTTTTTTCCTTTCCTGTTCACTCTCTTAAAAAAATAAAATAGCACTTTGAATTTCCACCTAGGAAAATTGTGTCCTCTTGGCAGTGAATAGATTGTAGATAGATCCCAGTAGTGAACCTGTAATCAACAGGGAAAATACTTCTGAGCAGAAGTTTGATGAAAGGAAAAGTAGTAAAGATGAGTATCAACAACCTTTGTGTGAAAGCACAATGAAGCATCCAAAGAAACTGTGTTGTTGATTGAGATCTCAAAGGCTTTATGCCTTAGTTTTTAACAGAACTTTGTGCATATGGTACAAGTTTCTAAAGCAGTCTGAGTGGTGATTGGCATGCCATTTTGATAAGCCACTAAAGAAAACTGGAGTTGTTACCTGAGTGCTTCCATAGCAAAGGTTTTCAAAGCCTTTACTTTCCCCAAAACATCTTGGAGGCATGAAGGAGGGAGTACTGAGTTGGCCTTCGGACCTCTGCCCACACACTGAACTCAGCTGGTATCTGTTTTCATTGTCAGTGTGTTTTCTATAAGATTTCATGTTTTAAAACAAAGGAAAGTGCTTTACTCTTGTTTGTTTGTGAAATATCCTCTCTGGTAACAGGGAACCAGTTATACCCTAGTCTTTGAAAGGATCATTCTAATTGCCATGTTGAGTAGACCGTAGTAGGATGAAAACGAAGAGATTAATTAGGGGAATATCACCTTAATCCAAGTTAGAAATGATGGTGCCCTGAGCCAAAATGGTATTCACAGTGTTCTGCCTGCCGATGGCAGAGTCCAGGGTTGTGCCCATGGGGTGGCAGGAGTGAAGGCCGGCCACAGGTAGGTTCTTGAGAGCAGGGCAGGACTGACCTAATGGCAGCTCATTTACTGCTTCTCCTGAGCAGTGAGGCTGGTAGGGGAGACAGAAATGAGGCAGTAACCAAAAGGAGGGATACTGGGAGTCAAGCCAGGACTTTTTGATAGAAATTAGGATAGTGTGTGTGTGTATGTTGTGTGTGTGTGTGTGTGTGTGTGTAAGGGAATGATCACATCAAAAGAAGAAACTCAGCGCTGCAGGATGTGGGGAGCAACTGGGAGCAACTCGGACTGGACTAAGTTACTGGAATTAAGACTTATTCTATGCATCTGCTTTCCCACAATATGGCGCTGAGAAGGGAGTAACAGCTTCTACACAGCTGCCTCCAGTTCAACCAATAAACTGTAGGACCTGCTCCTGATTGCAGGAGAGCAGCGTACTTGGCATGTGGGTAGCAGAGTTGGGATTGGTGGAAGAGGACTATAAAGGAGGAGAGAGACAACATGCACCAGGAACATCTATCTGAAGGAGCACCTGTGCAGCCCCCGAGAGAGCCAGCCGGCGGTGTGCCGCTCCCCCGCGGAAGTGGGGAAAGTGGCAGGGGGAACCGCCCTTCCACGGAGATGGAAGGGACGGTAGCCAACCCGGGAAGAACCAGCAGCAAACCCGGGGAGGGCCAGGCAGACAAAAGAACAGCGCAGGGTCTTGTGTCCTTCCTCCATGAAGAAGGGGAGCGACACAGGAGAAAGCAGAATCACTCATCTACTGTACTCAAAGCCCCCAAGAAGGGAGTGGATCCAGGGTTCACTCCCAGGAGCAGGGGAAGGCAGAGGGGAGGCGGACGTGACATAGGTCACACCACACCAGCAACACACGTTAGTGCACGTCCCATACCTGTGTCAGGACTGGCTCTGATCGCTTTTATTACAGTTGAAAACATTTACAAATTTGACAGACTTGTTTAATTTACCTTTCTTTACCTCTGAGATAAAACATTTTTCACTTTATGTTATTTGTAGGTCTTTCTTTTGTGAGTTCTTGGTCTTTACATTAAGAGTAACACATGTACTTGAAGGTGTTTTGTTACCACAACCTTTCCAGATTAAATTTCAAGCTAGGGGAAACTTTATATCTTGTTAAACTAGGGGCCATGTTAACTATTTAATAATTAGACCTTTGTTGCCTGTATCTGCTGTATAGGTGGATATTCCAGCCAGATGGAAGTGTTTATTTTCTTTATTAACCTGGGTTTTACCTTTAAGAGCTGTAGTCATAAATGTAGTTTAGGAGGTGAAGACCTATGAATCCCTGTTTCAACACTGACAGGTTGAGAATTTCACACCTTTTAATGTAGTGATCAAGGACACTCGTGGCCTTTGGAGTCCCGTAGATTAAATATCAATCCCAGCTGCACCATTATGTCTTCACTGTATCCTTCCACAAAAAAATTAGACTTCTTTGTATTTTTTTATCTATAATATGAAGACAATAGTATGCACTTCATAGGGTCATGGTGAAGGTTTATTACATAAACAAATTACAGTGCCTAACACACAGCATGAATTAAAGACCTCTCAAAGCGAATAGGTCTAAGAAAATACTCCTGACATAGTATTCATTTCTGCACAGTGATGATCCTCATTCTCTTTATGTGCCTTAATAACTTTATTTTTTTAAAGATTTATTTCTTTATTTGAAAGGCAGAGTTACAAAGAGGCAGAGGCAGAGAGAGAGAAGTATTTCATCAGCTGGTTCACTCCCCAGATGGCCACAATAGCTGGAGCTGCGTAGATCCAAAGCCAGGAGCCAGGAGCTTCCTCTGAGTTTTCCACGTGGGTGCAGGGGCCCAAGGAGTTGGCTCATCTTTTACTGCTTTCCCAGGCACATTAGCAGGGAGCTGGATTGGAAGTGGAACAGCCAGTATTGGAACCAGTGCCATATGGGATGCAGGCACTGCAGGCGGCGGCTTTACCCACTACACCACAGCATTGGCCCCAGTGACTTTATTTTGTCTACTTTTTAAGTAACATTCAATTTGTTTTATAGCCTTTGACTAGCATAAAAAAGGATGATCATTTAGCATGCAGAAATTATATGTATTTATTGTTGAATTTTAATTATGAAAATACAGAATCAAATGAACATTATGTTGCAAGTTATCTTAGGAAATAACAATTAGTCATTGGTTGGGCTTTTTATTTTTAATCTGCAGATACATTTACATTCTCATTCTCAGTATAAGATGGGAGCTGTGACACACAGATTTGAGAAAAAGAAACACATTCTGATTTAATTAAAATGCCAAAGTCATAGCTAGGTAAAAGAGAACGTTTTCACTCCTTCCAATTAGATCTACAGACTGTCACACATTGCTTCAGTGATAACAAGGATACTTCAACTATTCATGGAAAAAATGTAATTGAAAGATAAGTTGATAGGGCAGGTATTTGGCACAGAGCAGTTAAGCCATTGCTTAGATGCCATGTCCCCTATCAAAGTGCCTGGTTCCAGTCCTGTCTCCTCCACTTCCAATCCAGCTTCCTGCTAATGTGCACCCTGGAAGGCAGCAGATGACAGTTCAAGTACTTGGATCTCTACCACCCACATGGCAGATCCAGACTGAGTTCCCAGCTCCTAGCCCAGCCCTGGCTTGTTTCCAGCATTTGGAGAGTGACCCAGTCGGGGGGAGATCTATCTTTATTTCTGTCTCTGTCTCTGCCTTTCAAACAGAATACAAATACATTTTTAAAAATCTGCACTGATACTTGTTTTAAAAGGCAAATCTAGTGCAAAAACATTTAAATCCATTAATTTTTCTTGTAATACATATTTTTCAGGAAGTTTTGAAGATCTCCCTCTCATAGAATTCATGACAAGATTGTTGGCAACAACTGTGCTTTGTTGGCAAGCCTCATTTCTTTTCATCTTGCAGGAGGATGGCATGCTCGTTTCAGAACATGCACAAGCACCCCTAACATAGAGGGGTACATTTTTCTCCACACGAGTATATGTTCTCTGATACCTGCCTGTCCCTGCCGGCTTGGCCCCTGGTGTTCCGGTCAGGTGTCTTACAGCACGTGCCATCATCTGCAAGAATCAGGAAGCTGCCAGGCTTCCCTTTGTGGAAGTTAGAGGAAAACGTGCAAATAATGGCTTAGGTGTCCATGAGCTACATGTGGGAATAGGGGCTAACGGGCTCACCCTGGAGAGAGTGTGTTCTTGCTACAAAGGTATTTTTATTTCTTGTATGATGTTAATCCTCTTTTATTATTTGGTAACAGTTCTGTCTTAAAGTCAGTAGCAGGAAGTTTTCGACAGTGCATATTTAATGAAAAAGTAATGCATTTCCATTTCTTACAAAAGCTAATGATGAACACATAATTTGAGTAGAATGTTTGTTGGCATTGACCACCCATGGAAGGGCCATATCTCTGACCCAGTGATATAGAAACATCTAGTATTTGAAAATTTGGAAATTATTTTAAAAATATTAGGCTCAAAGCCAACTATTTTTTGCATGCAGCTGGAGAAAATGCATTTAAATAGCACTCTGTGCAGCATGACTTTTCATTAAGGTTAAATGACTTAACTCTAAATTAATGTTGTTCGTATTCAATTGCAAGCTTTCTTATGTCCATTAGCAGAATGAAGCAATACTGTTAATATGCTGTATCCACTAACAGAAGACCTGTGCAGACAGTTACATGTTGTCAACTTCGAGTCTGTGTTATCAGAGGCTTCAGAGAGAACATCTGCTGGGTCAGTTCCAGTCAGGGTTCAGCTTCCTCCCCCACCCCCAGCCTTCTACCCCGCAATTCTTAGAAATTTCAGAAATTTGTTTTCAGTCAAAGATTTCAGTCAAAGATTTCTGAATGCTACTGTAAATTCAGTTCAGCATCATACATGTGTCTACTTAGGCATGAATTTGGGGGATTATAGCATTGTGATATACATTAGTATTCCCACTAAACCCTGTGGAACAGAATTGTACCTGGAATTAAGTGTGGTACGTGTCATTTGTAATTGCCCCAAACATGCTGCAGTTTCTGTCAACTGAAGCAGGAACTTACACTGTCAAAATAATCAGCACTTTTATTTTTTTAAAAAGATTTATTTTATTTATTTGAAAGACAGAGTTACAGAGAGAGAGAGAGAGAGAGAGAGAGAGAGAGAGGTCTCCATCTGCTGGTTCACTCCCCAGATGACCGCAATGGCCGGAGCTGAGCCAATCCGGAGCCAGGAGCTTCCTCCAGGTCTCCCAAGTGGGTGCAGGGGCCCAAGGACTTGGGCCATCCTCCACTGCTTTCCCAGGCCATAGCAGAGAGCTGGATTAGAAAAGGAGCAGCCAGGACTAGAACCGGCACCATATGTGATGCCGGCGCTTCAGGCCAGGGCGTTAACCCGCTGCGCCACAGCGCCAGTCCAGCACTTTTATTTTTACAATGTACAGAAAGTAACTGAACCTCAATATGTGATGAAAGTGGCTGAATACAAGAAATAGTTTAGCATAGCAGTACTTTTTCTCTGCTTGTCCACTATCAGCTGAGTTTAAAAGATTAAGCTTTCAAAGAACTACTTTGAAAATCAGCTGAAGTGCCCTACAATGGTGTTATAAACTGTTTTGTTTCATAAAGAAGTTATCTAATTTTGGTTGCATTTTTTTCAAAGTTCATTAGAATTCTGCAAAGGATTTAACATACGGAATACAAAAATAAGTAGCTTTTGAATTTTTTGACAAATTGCAGTTATTAACAAAAAAATCAAGTACACTCTTCCTGTTTTCTTTCATTATACTTTTCTGCTATTTGTTGTTCTTTCCCGTACCCAGGTTTGTAACATTCACATTCTGTCCTGTAATAGCAATGCCCAAGGTCATTTAAAGCAGCTCTGTAGAACACCAAATTAACTCCGTCCCCACCCCATCACCAACCATTTTACCTTGGCTTTTCCCATTCCTCAGTTTATTCATCTCTTAAATGCCTGGATATTATTAAATTTTTTCCCAAAAGGGCTTATTAGTGAAATGTTGCCTGAACTTTTTCATACTTGAAAATGTCTGTACTTAAATGACATTTGGTTGGCATATTTTTAGATGCCATTTTGTTTCAGTAACCTTGTAAATAATCACTGTTTTATCAGCAGTGGTTCTGTAACTTTCTGTTTCTTTCCATCACAGTCAGAATGCATTTTAAAGTTTTTGCATAGTTTATGACATTCCTAGATTTGGGTACTTCTGGTGAATTTTTTCTTCTTTCTATGTTTGCTGTTCTTTTTTTCATTCCAAAAGATCCAGGGAATTTCAGATCTTTCATTGAAACTTCTGTGTCATCTTAATCCAAAAGTCTGTAATAAACAGGCAAAATGTAATTTGTCATTTTGATTGTGTCACCATATAGTTATAGTACAAATAGAAACAGTTTTGAGAATGAGAGTGCTAGAAATTATTCAAAGTATATACTTTTGAGATATATTATCTGATAAATTAACTTATGGCAGACCTAAAGTATCAAATATCTATACACACTGAATTTTTAAAAAAAAATGCTTTTAAAATACTGTCTTAACAATAAAAGTAGCTAGCAAAGCAATTATTTTTGGTCAAGTAATTCATGTATGGTTATTATGAATGTATGTGTGTGGTATAAAGCAAAAGAAAAACCTGAGATTAAATAAACTAAATTACTGCATGATTCCTCATAAATAAGATGTGATAACTATGACTGCATTACCATTTGTTTTCAGTCATTTTTAAAATGTGTACAAATAAGACTCCAATGGATATGCCCTATCTCAGTTCTAAAGTGAAGGTATGCCATTAGTTCTAAAATTAAGTTCATGAAGTTAAAACATAGGGGGAAAAATTCCTGCCTAGAATTACAAGTTTGTTATCCTGTTTTGTTTAACAGTCTACTATTCTAATCTCACGTTAGGGTTAGAAGTAGGAGAGATCATTAGCCAAGAAACAGAAAATTTACTGTTCCATTTTTGCATTTGCCAACAGAAATTAATATGGTATTTAGGAAAGATTTAAATTTTACTGCATTTCTACAGAATTAGTTACTACTCATAATGAAAACTGTATCATTATGAACAGAAAATGGAAGCTGTAGAACATAATTTTATAGCAGGTGTTTTAGATAATTTAATAGAGTTCTTCCTGAACCTGCCAACTTTCTGTGCATTTTATATGTTTAGAGAGCTGAGTTTTCTGGTTCATTTAAATTCCGCTTAACTTGTGTCACATTTTATCATACCTGAGAAAACATGTTCCAAAGAACAGAATATAGTGAACTGTACCGTTTATCTTCAGCGATTCTGAAAGCATTTGAGCATCTTGTAGTTACTTAGAAACAGTACTAGCAGCCCTACATTTTATTTAACATGCGAAAAAAATCCAGTATGCTTCCATTTTTTCGTAATTTAGGTTGTAAATATTTAACTTGACTATAATTATCGGATTCTCTGATTTCTGTATTTCAGAATTGCCACTTCCATCAGAAAGTGTTGATATTATTATTTCTGACATTCCATTTGGGAAAAAGTTTAAGTTAGCAAAAGACATCAAAAGAATTCTACAAGAAATGGAGAGGTGAGTTGTTGGATTTATTTCCATAAATTTTTTAGCTCTGGGGCATTAAGCCAAAGTATATCCTAGCTCTTCAATTAAGGTCTGATTGCATTGTAGTAATGTCTCATATTTTATAACTTCATTTTCCAAGATTTCGAGTGGGGAGTTTATAATTGAAATAAATGTTATTCCATATCATTTTTACACTTTAAATTTCATTCAGAGAAACTAATTTTTCCATTACTGTGTGACGTTTGAATCTAAGAAACAGCGACCTATATTTAGTCACTGAGCTAGAAAATATACATATTTGCTTCTGATCCTTACAAAAATCCCCCCTTCCATGTGTCAATCCCCCACACTTTACAGATGAGAAAACTGGGACCCCGAGAGGTATCCCACCCCACGATAAGACAGCCACAAAACAGAGAAGCGCACTTTGCCGCATAGGAGCAGTGAGTACCACGTGATGGATGACGCCTTCTGTAGGGGCTGTGAAATGGAAAGGCTTCAGGGCTCCTTAGGGTTTCCAGTGTTGACCTAAGGGGGTTTAAGGCAACGGATGCACTTGTTTGAGAAGTTCAGACAGTAGCCCTGGATATATGATTTTTCTGATCACTTATGCTAATAAAGGAGAGAATCAAGAATGCATCCAGGACTCCATGGGCATGAATTGGAGGTCGGTTCGTATTAAATTGTCTCAACTGTACGCTTAATAGACTAGGACAACTTAAATGTTCAAGAGGCTGCTCTGCAAATAATGTGTGATGAAAACATGAGCCATGTGTTGTTTTTAAAAAGACTTATTTTATTTATTTGAATGACAGAGTTAAAGAGAGAGGTAGAGACAGAGAGAGAGGTCTTCCATCTGCTGGTTCACTCCCCAGATGACCACAACGGCCAGAGCTGCGCCAATCCGAAGCCAGGACCCAGGAGCTTCTTCTGGGTCTCCCACATGGATGCAGGGGCCCAAGGACTTGGGCCATCTTCTGCTGCTTTCCCAGGGGCATTAGCAGAGAGCTGAATCGATAGAGGAGCAGTCAGGACTAGCACTGGCACCCATATGGAATGCCAGCGCCTCAGGCAGGGCTTCAACCTGCTGCTCCACAGCACCAGCCACGCCACGTGTTTTGAATGGCAAAAGATCAGCATCAAGGCTAACATCCAGCAATGAAAATTAAAGCTTGACATAGTCTGAGACAGGTAAGAGCCACCTCACTGCATCTTGTGGGCATCCTGTATACTTTTTTTTTTTTTTTTTTTTTTTTGACAGGCAGAGTTAGAGAGACAGACAGAAAGAAAGGTCTTCCCTCCGCTGGCTTACCCCCAAGTGGCCACTATGGCCAGCGAACTGTGATGATCCAAAGCCAGGAGCCAGGTGCCTCCTCCTGGTCTTCCATACAAGTGCAGGGCCCAAGCACCTGGGCCATCCTACACTGCACTCCTGGGCCACAGCAGAGAGCTGGATTGGAAGAGGAGCAACCGGGACAGAACTGGTACCCCAACCAGGACTAGAACTCGGGTTGCCGGCGCCACAGGTGGAGGACTAGCCCAATGAGCCGCGGTGCTGGCCCCATATACTTTTTTAAAATAACATTGTACTTTATTTTTTAATATTTATTTTTCATTTATTTGAAAGAATGACAAAGAGATAGAAACAGAGAAAGATCTTCTATCCTTGTTTTGGATTACCCGATGTCTAAGCAACTTCCTCTTTTACCAAGTGACTTAAGTCTGGATGTCTGTTACCTGGGACCTCTCTTTCTGGGCAACACCTTTAATTCAGACATCTCCCGAACACCTGTCCTCCCTCTCCCCAAGATCACATTCCCCTCACACAGGATTTGTAACCCTGACTTCATATTAAAATCATTGCAGGAGCTTTTAAGAAATGTTGATGTCCATTCCCCATCCGCTCCCTACCAAGCCTCTAATTTAATTGATCTGAGGTAGTACCTGGGGCGTCAGTGTCTTATAAAAACTCCCAAATGCGGGGCCGGTGCTGTGGCAAAATAGGTTAATCCTCCACCTGCAGTGCCAGCATCCCATATGGGTGCCGGTTCAAGTCCTGGCTGCTCCACTTCCAACCCAGCTCTCTGCTATAGCCTGGAGAGCAGTAGAAGACGGCCCAAGTGCTGGGGCCCCTGCACCGAGTAGGAGACCTGGAAGAAGTTCCTGGCTCCTGATTGTCCCAGCTCCGGCCGTTGTAGCCATTTGGGGAGTGAACCAGTGGATGGAAGACCTTTCTTTCTGTCTCTCCTTCTCACTGTCTGTAACTCTACCTCTCAAATAAATAAAATATTTTCTAAAGAAAAGATTTATTTATTTATTTGCTTATTTGAAAGGCAGACTTACAAAGAGGCAGAGGCAGAGAGAGAGTCTTCCATCTATTGATTCACTCCCCAAATGGCCACAACGGCTGGAGCTGGGCTGATCTGAAGCCAGGCGTCAGGAGCTTCTTCCGGGTCTCCCACATGAGTGCAGGAATGTATCATTCCGTTTCATACACGAGCTATCCCGACAGAAAGGAAACCAAAGGACCTGCCCCTCCAGGGAGCCCAGAGAAAGACTGGAGAAGCGCTCCATTTAATTCAAAACCTATCTTTCTGGCTGCCCGAGGCAATGCCGGATTTGCCAGGATCCAAGGTCAGCTCCGTACTGCAGGGACATTCACGGGACAGGTCTGGACACCAACAGCGAAAGCCAGCCCCGTGACATCCAGGCTGACAAAACGGGCTCATGGCATGGCAGGAAATGAGCCGCACACACAGGCTGGGGGAGAACAGAAAGCTCGTAAAAGACAGGACAGTGTTGGGAGCGCAAGTAGGTGCAGGACTCGGCGGAGCTAAAGCAGCCCAAGTGCGACTGATGGACGATAAACAAAACCCATCTGATCAAACGGGAGAGGAAATTGCCGAGCTGTTCCAATAAAAAGTAAATTGACACTTTCCAAAACCTGCTGAATGGCTCAGCAGGAGGCGAGGGGTGTCTCCACATACACACGTGTCCTCACGAACACACATCATTACACATAACACCCCTGAGCACACAGGAGCCCTGGGGAGCACGCACAGAGACATGTACACTCACACGGTCATGGACACATGTCTGTATGAGCCGTGCACACACGTGCAGAGGCCTAAATGACCACCAAAGGTTCAGCACCGAGAAACACCAAAGCACACACCCAGGACCACGTAAG